GACCTACTATGACAACAGGAAAACCAAAAAGATGTCAACTGATCCCTAAAAGAAAGGACAGGAAAACAAAACACATGTGCTATCAATGTAAACAATACTTGTGTATGGAGCATGCAGTTTTCATGTGTGAAGACTGCCTTGAGTGTGACAGTTGAAGCAAAGGTTATTTTTGTGGTAGACTTTTATATTTACATTGCAATTCATGTTTTTTTTTCCTGATGTTATCTTTTAGGTTTTGTAAGCAAATACACAGGTGATATGAAAATGTTGATGTCTATTCTAAGCACTCATTACATATTTGATATATTATTTTATTGATATCTTATTTTCCTGCTAAGTGCATATTGTAGAATATAGTAGAAAGCTTTTGACAAAACAGGAAAAGAGGTGACAAGAACAGCCTGTCAACAGGAAAGGAAAGCTAAGCATATGTGCTGTCAGTATTAGCTAGATGTGTGCATGGAACATGTGGTTGTCATGTGTGAGGACTGCCTTGAGTGCGACAATTGAAGCAAAGATTATTTTTCTTGTAGAGCTCTATTGGTATTTTTATTGTAGTTCATATAGGAATTTATTTCTGATATTACCTTTCAGGTTTTGTAAGCAAATACACAACTTATAAGAAAATGTTTATTCTAAATGTACAATACATATTAAGAATTTAGTATTTATTTCTTTGATATTTTATGTTCCTGTTAACTACACATTGTGTAATATAATAAGCACCTCCTAACAACAAGAAGATCATTGCGATGCAAGTATATCTTATAAAAAGACCAGGAAAGCAAAACACATGTGCTGTCAAAGTAAGGGATTCATGTGTATGGAATGTGCTGTTATCATGTGTGGAAGACTGCCTTAGGTAGAATAATTGAAGTAAAGATTTTTTTTGTGTTAAGTCTGCTGTGATTCTGATGGGCTTTCCTTTGTAGGTGATTTGTTTCTTTTCTCTAACTGCTTGTAGGATTTTGTTTTTCTGTTGGATTTCTGGGATCTTGACTATTATATGTCTAGATGTAGATTTTTTTTGATCAGGCTCATTGGAGTTCTATATGCCTCACTTATCTGTATGTCTAATTCTCTACCTCTGTCTGGGAAGTTTTCCACTATTACTTCTGTGAACAGTTTTTTTATGTCAATTGTGCTTTCTCCTGTTTTTTCATGGACTCCTATCAGTCTTATGTTATTCTTCTTTGCATTGTCTAGCAGTTGTTGGATTGATTTCTTGTGTTCCCTTACTATTTTTAAGAAATCTCTATTTTCATGGTCTCTAACTGCGATCCTGTCTTCTATATCTGATATTCTATCTTCAGATTCCCTTAATCAGTAAAGATTTTTTTGTACAGTGCTATTGGTATTTGCACTGTAGTTCATATAGGAATTCATTATTTTTCAGTTTTCTGTTATTTGTACACCAAAAATGTTGATGTTGAAAATTTTGATGCTCTTTAATGAACTCAATAAATATTAAAAATTCAATACTTATTTTCTTGATTTTTTCCTGTTAAGTGCTCATAGTTTAATATAACAAAACTCAAAAAATTAATAATTCTTCAATAGAAATATTAGAAATAATAAATGTGGGTTTTATACACCCAAGTTTCTGCACCTTTGTGACAAAAGGCTCAGGGACTCATGCTTAATCATATTTCAGAGATTTCCTTTTGAAGATACATCCTTGAGGAATAGAGCTTTGCTGCCACCTACTGACACATGCTTCTTAAATTGTGTTTGCTGTCAATGTCTTCTAGTCTGGTGTCTTGCAGAAGCTATCATTTTATAGCAAATGACAGAGTAGTCCAATTCTAGGCTAAAACGGGCACCTCAAACCTATTTGTTTATAATCTACACACGGCACTAAATTTTCATTAGTACAAGGTGTGGAGAAAACCGTGCTTCAGAGGATCACTGTATTGTTTAGGCTCCTGCATATCATTCAGGTTTATCAATTCTGATTCTAAGGAAACTTAGTTTACAACTCTGTTCTGTAAATGACAGTAATAATTTCTAGAAATGCAAATTATATCATGTTCTCCTTTTCTTTTTCTTTCTGGGGGTTGCACTCAGGGGTGCTCCATCACTGAGCTATGTCCTCATCCCCAGTCCTTTTTATTTTGACACAGAGTCTAAGCTGCCCAGGCTGGGCTTGAACTTGGGATACTCCTGCCTCAGCCTAAGTAGCTGGGATTACAGGTGTGCACCATTGCTCCTGGCTGTCTCGTTCTCTTGACTTTCTTTCTCCATTGGGGAAAAAGCTACTTTTGCTTCCATTTGTATATTTATTTCAATTTTTTGGTCTGTGTGTCTGTTCTTTGTTTTCTCCTTTGAACTGATTTTAACATCTGCTTGGTTCTCTAAGAATTTAATAAAATCTTTAATACAGGCTCATTTGGTATCTGTGTGAGTTGTATAACTCTTTTGAAAGTTAGCCTTTAATAAAAGCCAACCTCATATTAGCTCTGATTCCCCTTGAAGAGAGGACTGGTTTTTTCCTTGAAAGCTCACAGTCTAATTAAGGAGATGCTCACTGCTGCAAATAATCTTTTGAAGTATTAATACAATTCCCACTCCCTTTCTTTTTTCCAGCTGCTCCATTAAAATAGGTAAGACTGACTCCACCTCATTGCTTCAGGAAAGTTATATGGCATATGGCAAAGCAAATATGGAGCACACAATTTTTTATTTTTCTGGTGGTACTGGAGGTTAAACTCCGGGCCTTTTCATGGAACAAAGGCCATTTTATTTTCATTTTCAGATAAGGTCTTGCTAAGTTGCCTAGGCTGGACTCAAACTTTGATCCTCCTGCCTCAGCCTCTTAGAGTGGTAGGATTATAGGTGTGTCACCAAGACAACTATAGATTTTTGTTTTCCTGAAGTTTAAGTCTCTAAAATAATTAAGAGAACTGGAGAGGATCTGAATCTTAGAGAAGATGGGGATTTTCTTTCACAAAATAGCAAGCTGATCTCCAATAGAGGGGAGGATGGAGTGGCAGGAGCAACAGGACCAGGCAGAGAGGCCAATCCACAGGGGTGGACCAAGGGGAGCCCCGAGTGCACGGGACAAGCACAGGGTAGGTCTAGGAGGGCCCCAAAGATAGGACCCTGGAGATCAGTGTCAAACCCCTTGTGGACTGAGGGCCGGTTACAGTGTGTGTGTGTTTAAGAATGAATTTGGCTTCTAACTTTCTGAGCTACTTTATCTTAAGAGGTAAATTACAATCTGATAAACTTATGTTTTGGGGCTATATTTTAAAAGCGAAATAGAACAGAAAAGATCAGAATACATCAAATGCAGTGAAACCAAGTGTTTCATAAACATTTTGTTTCAGGTGCATCAGTGTACATATTTTTCTTTGGATCTAGTTATGTAAATTTTACTGTAGAGCAAAAAAAGTACAACTCCGACCCTAAAGGCATAGTCAAATTCAGCTCTATGAGCCTAGCAGTACAAAAAACTTGCTTTCTTTCCTTTTCCTCTTTCACAATTACTCCAAAGGTGTATCAGATTATGTATAAAATATATTTTACTCTTAGGGTCCTAACTATTGTAAAAACAGTGACTCTCTACTTTAGAATCCTTTGGCAGGGATTTTATCTATATGTTCTCAGATGCTACAACTTGGGGGTAAAATGAAGCTGGGATAGAGAGGCTTTTTTTTTTAAAGATAGGCTTTTAAAAAAAAAAAATTTCTGCCAGTCAGTCTGATGAGAACAGGAAGTGGGAAGGACAGGAAGGATGAAGGCTACTGATTTTTCAGGAATTTAGGATCTACTTTTCAGTGTGGTTTTACTACTTAGCTTTCAGAAGTATAAATTCTGATTAGATTCACCTTTATATTAAAATGTACCAGGTTTCTAAACCTGACTGCTATCATTTGGATCAGAAATGCCCTCAAGGGCCCATATGTTAAAGGCTTCCTTCCTAGTGGACAGCTACTGGAAGGTGGTAGACCCTTTAAGAGGTGGGAGCCAGTTGGCAGAAGTTAGGTCACTGTGGGTGAGCCCATGAAGGGATTTTAGGACCCCACCCCTTTCTATCTCTCTTTGCTCCCTAGGTGCCATGTTAGATGATCATGTGGTCCTAGCATGAGGTATTGTGCTGCCAAAGGCCCAAAATCAACAGGGCTATGAGATCATGGACTGAGATCTCTGAACCTGTAAGCCAAAATAAACCCTTCCTCCTTTTATGTTGATTATTTCAGTATTTTGTCAGTGATGGAAAGCTGACTACCACACCTGACCAAACAAAATTACTGTAATTATGCATCATTCCCTGTAAGGCTATGTCACTTTATGAAATGATCTTGTCCCTGCTGGTCCTAGGACAAATCTTAATTTTAAAAATGTGTCAATGGTCTAACAGCCATTCATAGAATCAACTAGAAGATGTAGTGTTCAGAAGCTAACCCAAAATAGAAATGAAACTGTAAATATTATTACTTATTCTCTTCTGGAAGTTCAAAGTTAAGGTGGATTTTTACAACGCACTTACCTGTCTTACCAGCTTCTGCACCCTACTCAGGGAATTTAAGTTGATTTTACAAGAGATATGGATTACCCCATAGACAGTTTCCTAAAATCCTTTTAATAGCCCTGCAGTGAGGTAGCTTTTATTTAAAAACCCCTTTGTGGAGTTTCCTAACTAGGGAGAAAACGGGCAGCCACAGCCCTGGAATTGGGAAGGGTAGAAGTTTTGCCTTTGTTAGAAATAAATTCATGCTGTTAATCTGGTTTCACAGTCTCTTTTTTTCACTGAGCCTAAAGTGGTTGTGGAAAGTTTCTCTTTAGGCCCAACTGTGTTTCAAAAAATGTAATCTTCAAGGCCCCTGAACAGAAATCATAGCCTAAATCATGAACTAGAATCAATATTCATTTATCATTTCCTAATGGAACAAGGTATTAGCTTTTTTTTATTTCAAGTTAAAACTAGCACTTGGCATTGTTCTTCTTCCTCAGATAGTGTGTTATAGTCCCCCAAATAGAACAACACTAAAACAAAATCAAAGCAGTCTGGTTCTTTTATTAAATACCACTTGGAATATTGTTTATATTTTAATAGATATTTCACTTTAATCAAGAGTACTCTTTTTGTAAAGATATTCTTGCAATATACAGGCTGATGAAGGAATAACAACGAGAGGGAGAAGGTACATCAGTCTGGCATTTGTTTTCTTCTAAATTTATATTTCATAAGGTGTCATTCAAGGAAGACTGTTTCAGTCACATCCTTGCAATGACTAAGACAGGATTAAAGTAAAAACTCCAGCTGCTTTTGTGAGATCAATGTGAATTCACATTCATAGCTTGATTCAGAAGGCACAGGTCACACTCACTTATCAGAGGGAGTACAGATCTGTTTGTGCCAGTCTTTCCCTCTCTGCCAGCCCTGCAGTTCACCACACTGACCTGCTGGAGATGGCCTGAGGCTTTAGGCAAAGCCACTGCAGGAGCATGGCTTAGGGAGGGTGTGCTACACTTAATGGGGCTAATTTTTAAATCTGTCCCTTCAGTACAACCTTCTTCCAAACTGAACACTCATTTTCAGTCTCTGATCACCATCACCTGATACTCATCTTTACATTCACTTTCTCTACTTGGAAAGAAAGCACCTATTTTCAGAATCCACATGAATTACAAAGACTTACAAATTCCATGGCAATATAATTGCTGAGCAACAGAAGGTTTTCTGGTAAGATACTCTGACCACTGGATATTTCAATTTTTCGAAAGTCAGATTTCATTTCATAGTCTGCCATACAGTTACAGGATTATAAGAAGCTTCTCTGGATTCAGAAAGTTTCTTCTTACACAGATCCAAGCATTAATAAATGTTACCCATTGAAGAATAATAATAATATCTAAATTTCAAATTTTAGTTCCCCCATCGCAGGTAGATAAAATATCACAAAGACAAAGAAAACTGATTTGCCCATGGTCAGTCAGGAGTAAAATTTATCTTAGTTCCTAATTTGGTGGTTTATATGCTAAATTACACAGCTTCTTCAGGCCCTAGGGAACATAATCCTGGAACCTTATATAAATAAAATGGGCCCAAAAATACATTCTCACCAAAGAAATTAATTGGATAATTTATCAAGTGTGAAAATAACATCACAATAGTCTGCACAACTGATCAAGGGCTTTCAGATAGATGCATTATAAAAATATCCCTTCAGGCAAAATAAATAAGAAAAATTCAGCCTAACATTTACACAAAAGTTTAAAATTAAAGTGAGGACTACAATTCTAGTTACAAATATAACAAGTTACCCCAGAGAATTTAAGAAAACTCAATTCTAGCTGCTCAATTATTTTAGGACACAGAAGAGAAACCAAAGCTTGAAGCCTAGTTAAAAGTAGTATCTATTAAATTAGAGAGCAAATACAGCAAAATGTTATTGTAGATTCTAGGTGGAAGATGTCCACTAAGTTTTAAACTTTGCTGTATGTCTGAAAAAATTTCACAACAAAGTGCTGAGAGAAGTTGTTGAGAGTAACATCTATGCCTTAGCAAACCTATTACACAACATACTATCAGAAACTGCTCAGTTCCAGCCCTTGCTTTCATTTAATGTTATTACACTAATTTCATTTAATGTTTTTACATGTTTGTGTGTGCACTCCATGACAAATACTATGCCAAGGACGGACATAAGTGACCAGAACATTGTGCCTGCCCCACAAACATTTTACCTTCTCCTGGGGGCCAGCATGGAAGCAAATTGGTTACTGTTGCTTTGGTGGCTTTCTGGGAGCAGGAGTGAGCTCCATTCAGAGATGCCAACCTCCCGAGCAGCAGAGCAGCACGCCCTTCCTTCCCTCTGTCTTACACAGGACTGGCGTCCTGCAGAGAAAGCACTTTGACAGGAAAAGGAGTGCCACATCTCCTATTCCACAAAAACCTTTTTCCCACCTAGAATTATTTCTCAGCTTTATTGTATCATGACCCCTGCCTTTCTAGGCAGAGGAGGGATGGGGAACTTTAAAACATAGGAATTGTTTTGTGAAACAACCAGGCATCTTCTTGCATGTGTCTGAATTTGACTCAACGTGAGAGCTAGCCACAGGCTAGCATGTGAATCTGGGAATTTAAAAAAAGAATTTCAAAAGAAAACATAAACTACCATTTCTTTTCCCCCAAGGCTTCTAAGGAACTAGGGATCACACACACAAAAAATACCTAATGGTATTTTATATAAAACAATGAACAGAATTTAACTAAGGCAAGCCAAGTGCAGAGCTGTGTTAACTGAATAAAAGAAATGTATTTCTGGGCTGGGGATTTAGCTCAGTGGCACAGTGCCTGCCTGGCAAGCGTGAGGTCCTGAGTTCGATCCCCAATACCAAAAGAAAAAGAAATGTATTTCTAAGCCTTAAGTTAGAAAAATCTAAATGGTTTTGGTCACCAGAGATTTGAGAAATCCCTGGATAAAGAAGAATGACAAGAAATTACTCCTCTGTAAAGAGAATGAATTCTAATTGCATGCATTAATTCATATGCAGGTTCTTAGTTTGCCTGAGACTTACTGGTACAGAACCAGTACCCAAGAACATAGTTTTTATCAGTCACAAAAATTAACTGCTAGAGGTCATCCATCATCAGGGTAATAAAAACCCCACCTTTCATTCTAATTTTTTTTCTACTATTCATCGCCAAAATAAAAGGTGAATTACATTTTAGTATAGCCAGAAACTGCTACTGCACAAACAGCCGAAGGACAGTGATAAACTACCAAACTACAAGTCAGCATCCAGACTTATTTTCTAAGAGCAAAATGTTTGAATTGCAACGTAGGGTTGGACAACTCTGCAAAACAGTAAACAATTTTTTAAAAGTTAAAGATGGCAAAAGATGACTGTTAAATGATGGTTATCAAACTACAAATTTACAGCTTAAATGCTTGCAGACTTATCAGGTGAAACTGGTATGCTTAGGAATGGGGTAAGAGATCTCAATATAAAGAAATCAATTTCTAGGTTAAGACTTAATTCCAAGTTAAATCTTATCTAAAACTTTCTATCTGAATGACCGCTTGACAGTTGGCTTTACTCTGTATCCACAATAAATGACTAGTATAAAATGACTGGTTTATTACAAAATGCTGAATGTTGGGAATTACAAAAATTGCTCACTTAGAGGTGACCCAGCTGATGGACACTAAGTTGAAATAAAGCATTAGTCTCAGCAAAGAGAAAGCTAAAAAGCAATTTTCTACCAGCAAAATCCTTTAATAGGCATTATCCACATTCTGTGGGTTAAAACTCAATTTTTTAAGACAGAAGTTTATGGTTGGAGGGGACCATAGAAACATTCAGTCCAACTTATTTTACAGATGGGAAACTTGAAGCTAAGAAAAGTTAAAGGTAGGCAAAAGGCAGTTTTTAAGGTTTCTGAGCAAAAAATAAATAAATAAATAAATAAAAATATAACATAACCAAGGCAGGAAATGACTCCTCTTAGTACCTATTGCAGAGACATGCTTTTAATAGAAATTTAACCAGGAAGCTTTTAAATATCACTTCCTTTTTTAAATGAGGAGTTGACTTTCTGAGGCAACACTGAATTTTCTTCTCTGATAAAGGTACATGCTTATTATAGAAAATGTAAAAAGTGCAAGGAGGCACAAAAAATAAGCCATCAAAAATAATTTAGGATATTTCTTTCAGGCTTTTTCTATGCAAAAACAAAAATAACCACTGCTTACTTTTTAAATGGAATTTGATTATTTATTCACTGACAAACAATGGCAGGAATAACAGTAGCACAGGTTTCCCTACTTAGTGGGTGGTGCTGCAATGATTCTCAGGAGCTGTTTGGGAAAAAGAGCGAAGGGACACAAACTGTCAGGAAATAAACTGGTAACTAGTGATGAATCAGCAGCATGCACGTGGTGCAGGAACCAGGTCTTTACCATCACGCTTTAACATGGGACAGAGCATTAAAGGGGTAGAGAGAAAAATACAGGGGAAGGTCACAGTGACACTTCTAGAGCTACTTGGAATGGAAAACCAGACTTCTTGCCACATACAAGGACTCTGAGCTTCCTCTTGAAATTAAGGTAGATCTTGAATGCTGGCTGGAGGTTCTGATTTGCCCTTTTGGGAGATATAACCATTACCATTTATTCAAACGTTGAATAGTCTTGTGTAAAAAAGCAGTGGGTGGATCTTTTTGATTCTTTACTGCAGCACATTCCACAAAACCCTCCTCGGAACCTACAATGACTGGACTAAAGCAACCTACTCAAGCCAGCTTGTGTTGTGTCACCATCTCTACGGGTTCCAACCTTGGTTTAATGATTTCTCTGGCACCTTGAAAGATTGCCTAAGTTTAAAAAAAATCTGCTTTTAGAAAATCAATTTTGTAATAAAATAAGCCAGAGGGTAGTCAAAAGGCTGAACATTCATAGCTCGTATAGCTTCTGTTATCACCAGTGAGATGTCATGATGGTTAACAAGCGAATCACTTTTAATTTTTATGTTTGTGATTTTTGTGAGCATGCAACAAACAGAAGATGTGCAGGGCTGTGGAATTCACTCTGTGCTGAACAGACAAAAAGGGTTCCATGGTGTAACACTGAGCTGCTGGGGTCTACACGGGACTCAGCATTATAAACTCTAGGAAGACACCACTTTGTGGCCTCAAGGAAATATGCAAGCAAGGCAGAATGAAACACTTAAAAACAAGTGATTTAACAGACATGTTTACACTAAATAAGGCCATACTCAGGATTTAAACCAGCCCCAGTATGCTCAGTAAACAGCAGGAGGGAAGAAACGATGTGAATGAGAACTTAAAGTTTCTAAGGATTATGGTTAAAATCCTCTGGAATCTATAGGAGGTCAAATAAAATGAGAACTTAACTTTCCAGAGCATTCACTCTTTCATTGGCACTAGTACAGGCAGTAGTGATGTCACATTTCATATATTTCATACAATATAAAAATAAGCCACAGTTTTTAAGCAAACCCCATTATTATGAAAGGTTTGAGCTTTAGCACTGTTTTTTATACTTGTTTTTTTTTTGACAATAGAACACTGAGGCAAATGACCATGAAAGTACAGCAAAGAGGTATACTAATTGACGACGTACTTGCTGCTGTCAAGGGGACTTCAAATGTAACATTTCTGAAAAAAACATGAAGTATGTATTCCCAAGGAAAAATTGAGTAAGATATTTGTAACAGGCGGATGCAGCAAGTGGCCTCTTTAAGAACATTCACTGGTATTACCCCTTCCCCACTGTTTTTAGTTTGTTTGTTTGCATATTATTCTCAAACACAGGGCAAGGAAAGGCACTTTTTCTAGTTTTTCTTTTTAAACAAATGAAAGGATGCTATACCCCTGCATCAGTACTCCGTGGCTGAAAACCCTCCTTGCGAAGGCCACCCATGTCGAAGCGGGTAGAAACTTCACAGCGCACTAACAACGTATCATCCTTAATGAAGGTTCTTTGTCTTAGGGCTTCCAAGTGCATGAAAGTTACATAGCCAAAACCTTTTGGATTCCGTGGGATTGTGGGCCGCTGGAAGGCAAGCAGCTCTGGTTTGGCATCCATTATCTCTTCGTGGTTTTGCCTTACTGGGGCTTCAGACTGATCAAGAATTGTAAGGCGTATTGTACCCTGGAAGGGCCAAGGGAGGTGGCTGTCATACTCTCCTTGCATTGTGTGGACAAAGAGGGATATATAGTTTGCACAGCGCTGAGCAGTTGGTAACTGAAGGTGCAGGCGCATGCACAGTTTGTACCCGGGTTTGCCTGTGTAGAATCCAGGGCTATGAATGACAACAGGCTTCTCCTCTTCTTGAGACTTTAAGTGCATGCCAAAGTTGCCAATTTTCCAAATGTAAATCCCATTGCACTGCTGTGCTTCAATTTCAGCGACTTTGTCCTCGAGGGTTCGAATAGTTCCTTTAAGCTCATTTACATACATACACTGAGTTTCCATTTTCGCAGTCAGCTCCCGGATTTGATGGTCCTGTCTTACAAGGCGACCCTCTAACTGTTGAATGGTTTCCTGGAAATTCTGGACCTCTGGGTGGCACCCAGAGGAAACCCGGGGCAGAGAGGCAGCATCGTATGGAAGCAGGTCACGTGGAGGCACAGGAGTTAAAGCAAGGTTTAAACTATGAACAGCCTGAGCCAACATTCTCATGTGCGACTGGGTATTCTCTTGCAGGTGGCGTGCCAAGTGATTTCTCTGCATCTAAAATACAAGCACAAGCCTTAGGTGGGGAACAGATACTGAGGACTGGGGAAAGGACCGGGCCAGGCTAAGTAAGATGTCTGCAAGGTGCACTACAGCTCCTCTCAGTCTTCTATACTTTCCTTTGCCTTCACAGATTCTTGATCCAATGAGATGATCCTGCCTCTTCACTAAAAGATGGATGGTCTCCGACAAATACTCTCAGCTTTCCTCAAAAAATATCAGTCTCTATACTCATCTTTTCTTGATGACTCAAGACATGTTGTCTAAGATTGTTCTACTTGTAGCTGCGCTCAGTTATCCCTTCTCCTTTGTCTTTAAACTCTCTTCCTTTCCCTCAAAATATAACTATTAAAACATTTCCCATTAGAAAAAAGGGCAAACCTCTACAGATCTTATATTTTCTTCTGATTTAATACCATTTTCTACCTTTTCCTTTAAAGCCAAAGAATATCCCCAATTCCTCATTTATAATGCAAGTCTATTCCAAATTGGAATCTTTGCTTTCTCTACACTATTTGAAGGTAATCAAGAACATTCTAATTGCTACATAAAATAGTTATGATGTAACAATTTTTATTATAAAAAATTCTTGTACATTACAGAAAAAATTATAGACAGTTAAAAAAATAAGTTACCTATTATTTCACCCAACTTCACTAATATTTTGGTATTACTTCCTTCAGGTCTTTTTTCTATGCACACAAACAAGAAAATTTTTTTTCACAAAATGTAATCATACCATATACTATTCTGTCTTTTAAATTATTAAATGCTTATTACAAATAAGTAAAAAAAACCCCAAAAGGGTAATTACACTCTCCAGAAAGAACACTGATCTCTAGCCTTGAAGATAATCTGGGCGCAATAACAATACACTCCTTTTGCCTGATTCATCTGTTTCTATACCACGGTTCATTTATGGTTCCTTTCCCTGGCTGACTTCTCTTTCTTGAGCATGCTTATTCTCCATGATCACAACCACACCTTCCATTATCACAACAAATTACTCTCTCAAATCAATATTTTGTGTCTCAATTTCTCTTTAGACGTTAAGATCACATACTTCATCTCAGTCATCTCCACCTGAATGTTCCCGAGCTGGATGAACTGAAATTTATAACTCAATACCGTTAAAACTTAAGCTCTTTTTTTATTTTTTTAAACTATCTCCATAGTTTTCTGTATTCACTCTGCTTATGAATGGTCCTTCCCCATCCACCCAGAGACCAAAGCCAGAAACCAAGAGTCATCCTAGATGCCTCCTCCTCTGCTCCTCATATCTATTCAGCTACACAGGCAATAGATCTTCCCTGCTAAACAGGCATGTACTGGCTCCTTGATCTGTCTTCATTGTTATCGCTGTCATCCATGCTGTACTCATTTTGGGTCTAGTTATTCCAAGCTCAGGTATCCACAGAAAATCTTCTATTGTTATTTGGTCGAGTAACAAATGAAACTATCCAAAGTCCCTCAAAATGCGATGCTCATTCCCTCTCACAGGTCTTCTTCGACAAGTTTTTTCCATCTGTCAAGGGTCAACCCCCAAATGTACTTGGTCCTGTCTACCTAAATGCTCTAAGGCAGTGGTGGCAAACCTGTGGCACACATGCTGCAGCAGGTGGTTTGCACCATGGGAAACTCTATCCAATTCGCCATCACTGCTCTAAGTATGCCTTTGCGTCTGTTCAAAGCATCAACAACTTTATTGTATCATCGATCATGTTTTACAAACACATGCTTGTTGGTATTCTCCACTAGACTACATAATTGAGTATTTTTGATTTATACAGAAGAATTCAAACAAGAAAAACCAAACCAAACCAAACCAAACCAAAATAACAACAAAAACCTTACCTTTTCATGGCAACCAAAAGTACTGAAGGTGCAGGGGATCGGGGCTGTAGGACAGTCTAGATCATAATGAGTAGGCATCTGAAAATCAAAATAAAGGTAAAAAATGTTTTCCCCCGTATGTGAGGTTCCAGTTTCATGAGATTACACTTAAAAAGGAATTTATGTTTTGCCTAAACAAAACTATGTATTGTCAATTGCTGTTTTGGGGACACAGTGGTAAAGCTAAGTAAGCTGTGACAGAAACCCGTAGCCCGCAGAGATTAAAATAATATGTATTTCTAAAAATCTCTTAATATCTGCCCCCAAATTCAATAACATTCATTTCATAAAGGAATCTGTTCCTCTTACAGGCAACTGGCACCCTCTAGTGGTATTTTCAGGAAGCAACAACTTCTGACAACTGCAAACTCAACAGGGTCCACTAATGCTGCATGCATTCAAGCCACTGACTATAGACTCAGAGCTCCCCTCATGACAACCTTATATGAATCACCTTATCTTCTGTTAACCTGGGCATATTTCAGCTAAACTGAGGGATCTCAGGTAGCTATTTAGAAACTAAGATGTTAGAAGATATTTTAAGCACATTCTTGAAAGCCTCAGGCTTTGATACCGGGAATCAAAGATACATTCTCTTACGCTTTGTGGTACTGGTGATTAAACTCAAGGCTTTCACCCTGATTGATATAGCTAGCCATTTTTTAGTTTTTATTTTTAAGATAGGGTCTTGCTAAGTTGCCCAGGCTGGGCTCAAATTTGTATTCTTCCTGCCTCAGCGTCCTGCCACATACCTGCTAGATTACAGGAGTATGACACCATAACCTGGTTCAAAGGCACATTCTTTAGAGCGCGTTCCATTATATAGGATCATATTTTTTGAAAGTGGTACCAAATTTTCTTCAGAAATTTGGTTTGGTTATGGTTACAGATCAGAAGGCAAGTTAATAGTACAGCCAGGATCAAAGCCTAGGTTTTCTGACGCTTTGTCTAGGGTTTTTTCCTACAGTAAACTTTGTTACTGCTGGGTTTTAAATATGCTGCATTATTTTCTTAAATATTAAGAGGGCAAAAAGGAAAATCAAGGAGGTGGGACTTCAGCAAAAAAGAAGTTTAACACCTTTCAAATTAAGACTTTGTTGGAAAGAAACTAAAGGACTCTGTTAACAGACAGATGGAAAAGCTTAGTCAAGTGACAGATTTTGCTTGCTTGTACATAGTAAGGCAATCAATAATGATCTCTGGGTTTGCAGATTTCATGGGTGTGTACCTGTCTGGTGAGTAATATTCGTATTTTGTGGGTAAACTCCCCAAGTGTCAGAAGACAACAATCTGATGGAATTTTCCTTTCTCTATTAATAATCAAAAACCAGATTTCTATTACAATTATGACCTCTGATGACGCCGCATCAGTGGCCTAAAGTACAACCAAGAGAGGGGGCCACAGGTCCTAGAAATCTGGAAACCTTCCATAGCCTCAGGGGCTACAGCCAGGAATAATGTTTGAATTTAAGAAATATGTATTTCTTAAAGTCTTTGCTTTCTTGGGCCGGGGCTGTACATCAGTGGTACAGCACCTGTCTAGCATGTGCAAGGCCCTGGATTCCCTCTCCAATACCACACACACACACACACACACACACACGCACACACAATTACTTCTTTCTTTAAATGGTTATCCTTACATTCAATTGTTTTTATCTTAAAATTATATAGTTTTGTTCAATTATATGGTCTTACAAAGATATATAAACATAGGTGTTACGTTAATGACTTAGGATTTTAAGTGCTTAAAGAACACTGGATTTTTGTTCTTTCAAAAATTTTTATTAATCACATTAATGTATATGAATATTAACATAAGTACCATGTTAATGATTTAGGAATTTTAAAAGCACTGGATTTTTGTTCTTGTTTTTTTTGGTACCAGGGTTTGCACTTGGGACCTTGCACTTGTGAGGCAGGAACTGGAACCACTGAGCTAAATCCCTGGCCCAGGATTTTTGTTCTTTTGAAAACATTTATTACATTAATTTATATAAAAAATTTTTGTACAGTTCTGTAATTCTAATACTTTTTCAACCTGTGTTGATTTTGTCGTACTGACTTAAATATTCATTTAAAAAGCTAACGCTTCTATAAGTTATTTTGACGCTTTTAATTTATGAAAAAGAGTACCTGTTCTCTGATGAGCATGGTGTGGCAATATTCACAGATGACATTTGCCAAAGGACAGTTCTGGTCATGGATCTAAATTTTATGAGAGAAATATTATAAGATAAGCATGAGAAAACTTAAAAATATAAACAATCACTTTTTATAAGAAGTATTTTTTTCACCATGAATAAATTATGTATACGAATTTGTGTTAGATAAAAATGTGAGGATAGCCTTTATAAGGCTATTTTCTCTCCCTTTACTAGAGCAGTAATGAGACTCATTTAGCCTTGCAGCTCTCTCAAAATCACTTCCTTTTAACCTGAAGCAGTCTACTGTGACTAGTTTGGATATCATTCGCTAATACTATAATTCTTCAAAGGCAATCTACTTCCAAAAGTTTTCAGGAGCACTATGACAATTTAATTAAAACTTTTACAAACAAGAACAAATGCATTATTAAGGTGAGAGGCTTTGGTCTCCAAGTTCTCGTATGTTATTTTCTAGAATACAATGACTTTAGTTTAGTTGATGTACTGAGAAATAATTAACTTTCCAGGTTAAGTCCATCTAATGTATTCAAGTTTAGAGAAGAGATGGTAATTTCTTCTAATTATGATTGAAATTTTTCTATATTTTTAGCAAGTTAGTTTTTTAAAAGTATTTTATCAACATAATAAATATGTTTGATCAAAGGAAAAAATCACAACACAAATCTGTAAGAACTAAAGTTGAAGGAAGTAACTATTAGTTATAAAAGAATAAAATTATACATAGGCTTATTTTAGTAGAGAGCACGAAAGACACCAAGGGATAGAATTTCAGTGATAAGTTTTGACACTGACATTAATATAAAACTATTCAACCTCTCTTTATCCTGATTTTTTTTTTTTTTTGGTACCGGGGATCAAACTCGGGTCCTTGCGCTCGCAAGGCAGGTGGCACAACCACTGAGCTAAATCCCCAGCCCTTTTTATCCTGATTTTTAAATGAAAAACTGCTGTATCTTTCTGATGCTGTCACACATCATGAACCTTCTCTTTAAAAGGTAGACTTTTTAATGTAAATATAAAATACATACTAAAAAGTGAATATAGTATACAGGACAATGAATTATCACTAATGGTATATACTTCATGGGATTTAATTTATTCTTTTTAACAACTCATTCTCTTTCACAAGATAAGTTTGTATAAATCTTTTATAGCAATCATTTTTGTCTGCAATCAGTTTGGTCATTAAAATCCACATATTCAGGATTATGATTAGCAAATTCATTTCCAAGCAGCTTTTGTTGCCTGTAGACCTACAACAGTAATTACTAGGATAAACAATGTTTATAATAAAAATATGCAAATATAAACTCCATATTTATAACTTATTACACTTTCATTTTTCTTAAAAATCAAATTTCCAAAAATTAATAATGCAGAATCAAAATTTCAGTCATATCCTTATCTACTGCTAACTTTCTCCAATATACATTAAAAGTGTATATAAAAAAAAAGCAGTGGACTTAAATCCTATTTAGTACATACCTCCTTTTCCTCAAAAGGCATGGATACAGCACAGTTTACACAAGAAACCTGTCTCCTTGGACAATCCGTGAGGATATGAATATTCAACTGGCATTTTTGAAAGGGGCGCTGGCATTGGGAACAATTCACAAGAGCAAACTCACAGAGTACTTGATGGTCCTACAATAAAGAAAAAATAATTGATTAGTCTTTGCCAACCGTGAAGTTTTCCAAAGATAATCTCTTCTAAGAATACATGGTTCTCTTTTTAAAAATTGGCTACTAAAGCTACATTACCTACTATACACAGTATTATTCACAATATGAAGGCCTTAACGAATTTTTTTCAAATAATGGCATAGACTGCAAGTTTATACAAAGAATGTGAATTCTCAAGTTCATACATTCAATAAGGGAAGGGAATTGGAAAGAGGTCAGACTTCCAGAACAGCAACTCAGTACTATTTTAAGAGAGCCACTTCCTCAAAAAGAACTAAGTAAAAGGGGCAGACTCCAAATATGCCTTAAACATTTAATTTCAAATATAATTAAAAATATTCATTTCTGATAAACGTCACCAAACTAAGAATTGATTTATTTAAAAAACACGTTCTTGTATTACCTGATGCTTTCAGTTCATATCAAATTAACTGAAAGGAGCCCTTCATTTAGCTCATAATAAAATGTACAATTTAGAAAAACAGAAAAATGTCCAATGAGGGTACTGACACAGTAACTACATGAGACTTACTATACATTTCAAATGAAAGAAATGAAGTTATTGGATTAAAATGTGACTCTTGAATTTAAAATGTTTTCCATCAGTTTTATTCTACATAATATCCCCCAAATTTGTAGAACATTGATTTTTTTTTTTTATTATTGCTGGGGAAGAGATAGAGAAAACTGAATAAAAAAATCCCAAGTTTCTTCTTATATTTATATTTAAAAATCAAAGTGTTAATAGCAAGAATTTAAAAGCTATTATATTCTAGGTCCTAGGAATACACAAATTAACGCAGCACAATCTGTGTTCTCTAGAAACTATCTGGCACAAATGCAAACAGCTAGAAAATGACTTTGATACCTCAAGATGCCTCAATTCCATCTTGTGCAAACAACCTTCATTTGGACACTTTACCATCAGAGAGAGAATCTCTCGTTTTGCAAAATTATCAGGAAATAGTTGATTTTCCAGCAGTATTTCGTTGTCAACTGGACATTTGTGACCTGCATCCCTAAAAGAAACAAGATGTATCCAATTAGTTGATTTAAACATTCACATTATAAAAACTGACTTTAATTTACCATACAAAATAAGGTAACGTTATACTACAATACCACTAAAATAAACTCTTAGGAATAATTTATGAACTTATTTTTATGAAATGAGTACAAACAAGCACCATACTGATCATCTTCAAAAGCCATGAGATTTTAGATGGTAGGATAGATTCCAGCTCAAAAAGGACACACACGTACTGAATAAAATGGTATTTTGATTAGCATAAAATCAAAGTAAAGAATGGAAACACTGAAAGTCTGGCTGGCCTCCATCCAGCACCTATGTAGTATCCTAGTACGATGGGCCACACTGCTCAGAACCTGAGTAACATGTCTGCAGTGCACTGCTGCCTCGCTAGTGAAAATTTAACCAAGCAGCAGTGACCGCGAGGCTCGTATGAGCAGGTACTCTGAAACAGTCACGAAGACGCTCCAAGCGACAAGCAAGGACGGTTTCTTTAATTTGTACAAGTGCCACCAGGTAATAGGAAGTTAAAGAACCTCTATGTTTTTTCCCCATCTTATAGTAGGAAAAACCATCTTCAGGCGGGGTGTGTGTGTGTGTGTCTGTCATTCCTCCACTCACAAAATGTGACAGGTCAAGTGGGCCACAGGAACCTTAATCACTCAAACATTTCCTGAGCACCTCTTCTGTGCTCAAGAGTGCTAGCTGCTGCGGCAGACAGAAAGGTGACTGAGAAACAGTGCTGTCAAATGCCTTACAGCTCATAAAGGTGAGACATGTCGGTAATCTTTATGGGGCCTTTCTCAGACTGTAATGATTACATTGCCAAGTAGACTCTGATAGCACAGGAAGTAGTAAACAAATTTACTGAAATATAAAGCCTGAGCCAAAAGTGATGTCTACCTAAAAGAAAATAAGAAACTCAAAGTAAACTGAAAATCACTATCCAGAGTATGACCAACTATTCCAAAAGAAAATGGAATTAAATTGAGAAGTATTTTGAGTCCCCGAATGACTACAGCCAATGAAAAATGTTAGGGCAGCTCCTTCAAGACCATCAGACACACAGTACGTGGCCCTTTATAGCTTAGAGGGAGGTAGTGGGAAAAAGCCTCAGATTTCCGTTTGTGGGTTTTACTTCCGTTTCACACCACTGTCCCACTACTTTGCTGTGTATTTTGCTATTACAAAGCTGCTAACAGTTGGCTACCTTTCTGGGCATGGTTGACACTTGATAAAATACATTTCTACCTACAGGAAAATCAATAAATCATAATAGGGTACCCCTCCCTTTTAACCTAAATACAATATAAATAAAAGTCATTAGACAAAAAAAGAGACTGGCCCTTTTAACACTGTTCTCCTGTATACCCTAAACCAGTGATGGATGGCAAACCTTAGAGCTTTCAATAACAAATAGCTGGCTGTAGCACACGTGCCACAGGTTCACTACCACTGCCCTAAACCAGTGGTCTCCACCAGGGACTATTTTGCTCCCAGGAGTCATTGTAGGTCTCACTGCTGGGTGCAGGGTGGACCCTACTAGCATCAAACAGACACAAGCCAGGCTGAAGATCCTACAACCCAGGGGACATTCTTCCCAACAACAAAAAAATCCAATCTGGCCTAAAACATCAGCAGTGGTGAGGCTGAGAGAACCTATTCTAAACAGATCTTGTTAATTCTACATGAGGCATTTCTCCCAAAACTGAAACAGACACACTCCCTTATGACTGTAGTGAAGCCAAGTCTGCAGCAAGGATACAGTGACCCTAATTTCAAGTTCTACAGAAAAGTTAGTGTAACAGTTGAGAGATAAATACTTAAGAGGCCAATGAATAGTCACAGAACTTAACCTATTAAGGAATGATTTCACTGATATATACTAGATGGCTAGTTATCGAAAGACACAGATCCCCATTCCAATTTTTTTTTGTTCTATACAGAACTCCCTGTCATATAAAAATATTCCCATTTATTTCCGAGTTATAATAAAATGTATCTACTTTCCAGGAGATGAAGTGGAATTATCTGTGGAAATCCCATGTGTTTCAGGTAAGACAACCATATTTACCGACCACCTGTTGTCGGTAAGGCACTGTTCCTGGCACTTGGGAAATGTCAAGATATAAAACAGATTTGAAATTTTGCTCTCAAGCAGCTTACCTTCCAGTGGGGCAAGCAGACAAACACATAAATTACCTTTTGTATTAGAAGGCAAAAGTGCTATGAAGAAAACAAGAGAACTTGGTAAAGACCAGGCATGTTGTCAAAAGTAGGACAGAGGCGTGTGTGCTGTGGTATAAATAGAGTAGCTGCAGAACCTGTAAGGAGAGTTATTTCGGCCATACTGGAGGGAATTCAGATATGACAAGAATGTTTCAAGCAGAGAGAACAGCTAGAGCGACTCACCAAGCCAGGAATGTGCCTGACATGTTTCGGGAACAGCAAAGACCGAATGAATGGGAAGAGAGTGAACACGGGGTGTGTGTGTCTGTGTGGTCAGAAAATTAATCATGTGTTTATCATACAGGTCCTTCTAGGGCTTTGAATTTTACTCCCAGATACCCGCTGTGATGTTCTAAGCAGAGATGATATCACCTTACTTATTTTACCAGGTTCACTCTGGCTGCTGTAATGAGACTGGAAGAAGGCGATGGTAGAAGGAGGAAGGCCAGTTAGAGCTGATGGTGATTCAGAACAGATACGGGAGGCAGTGAAGAGACTGGATTATGGATACACAGAGTGTGAGGGTAGAGTCTTCACTGAATACCTGCTTTAAAAGTACCAGTTATTTTACAACTGCTTAGAGACATTAAATAACAGAAAGATTTACCATGGATAAAATCAGAATAACTGATCACTTATAGAATCAGTGTTCTCTGTGTGGCTGAGATGATCATAGTCTACTAGTGTCACTTAAGGTACATTTAAAAACATTATTTTTTAAAAACACAGTCATCCCCTGGTGTGCATTCAAACTGCTTGAAGTAGAAGCAGCTATTTGTTCTCTTATTTATCTGAACATCAAAGGAAGGGAAGAGAGACAAGTCACCTCTTGTACCATAGTGGGAAGTGGTATAAGAATCTAACTTTTGAAATTTTCTGCCTATTGTTCTTTTTTCTAAGTGGCTTTTTGTATCTAAGACTTTTCTTGGGATGTGTGTTCCATGCAGGAATGTTCTTTGCGCTTGGTTCTGTTACAGGACACTGCTCCTCCTGAAGCGCACGGACCTTATTGATTTGATGATGCAGGCCTTGCAGAACCGATGGCCACACGGCGTCTGCACTGCTTCCCGCAGAGCCATCAAGCAGATGGGGCACTCGTACTTGCTTTCCAGGGGCGGGTCAAACTCTACATCATATCCCTGGATCTCCTCCATGAAGGAGCTGGACAGGTTCCCCGTGCTGGTGCTGGGCACCCCGCTCACACTGTCGTCTTTCGCTGCAGTGCTACAGGAGCTGGCCATGGCAGCACAGCAGTCGCTTTCAGACTGGCTGGATCCACAGCTGTTTTCACAGTTTATCAGACTCATAGTAACTTGATTAGCAGTTTCTCTGTGAAAACAGCAAGAAAACAATGCTTTAGCATGCAAACACAAACACATATCCTTCTGCCTTATTAATGCAAGTTGCATATTAATTCATATATATTAGGTGTGTCAATGTTATTTACTGTCTTGGTTACTTTTCTTGTTGTTGAGACAAAATACCCAACACTCAGAGTTAAAGGAGGAAAGGTTTATTTAGCTCAGTTTGTAGTGGTTTTAGTTCATAGTCAGCTGGCTCCCAGAGAGGGTCGCATGGCAGAGGAGAAACAGTTCATGGCAGGCAGAAGGCAGCAACTGACAAATGACTAGCAGCGACCCGACCCTCTTTACGTCCCTATCTTATCCAGGCTACCTATCTTAGTTCTGGTAGCACTCACACCCAGGGTGGGGCAGCCTTAATCCTAGCATCACACCCTGGATCAATTCCAGCATCACATCCTTGATCCCAGCATCACACACCCTGGATCCAGCCACCTCCACCTGTGACCATATGAGGCCTTAGGGGGACATGTGGATACAAGGCATAACAATTACAAAACAACTTTTAAAGTGTTTTCAGCTTTGCTTCATGGCAACTATTTTATAATGAGTTATTTGATTTCCTCCTTCAAGAATGATATACCATCATCTATGCAAAGCACTTAACACACACAAAGGCTGGGCCCTTTAAGGAGTTCATGATCTGGTAGGATGACAATATAAGGTTAAAAAAGAAAAAGCACTTCAACTGTAATACTCATCTATATCATACTATCTATTTACATGTCTGTTTCCCGTGACTCGGGTCAGGAACTTTTCATTCTCATACCCTCAGTATTCAGTGCAAGATTTTCAGATAATAGGTGCTCATTAAGTATGTGCTGAAGAACTCAGCCATGCTGCTTAAGTTCCTCAAGTGTCCTGTGTGGAAGAGCATGATACAGCTAGCAGGGCAGAGCTACGAAGAGCAGTGCATAAGGCAGCAAGTGATCATGTGCCACTATTAGGTGTGCGCTTTTGAGCAAGTTACTGAACTGTCTGAATCTTGGTTTCTTCTTCTAGATCTAAAATTCTATCAGGATTTCCAAAAGGTCAGTGAGGGGATTTTGATTATATAGCAAGAATGGAATTAAAAACATGTATCTTTATGTCCTTCTGCCTTCAGTCAGGTCAAGTGACTATTTCATCAAGTGACTGGAAAAACAAGCGTGGTTTCTTCGCCCATGAAAAACTATTGGTTTCATGAGCAGATAGGATATCTTTAAATTCTAACCTTTATGGTACTTGCATGAGGAGCTAATGTCTTTTAAAAAATTTTTATTGGTATATCTTTTCAGTACATAATGATTATATTCCTTGTGGGAAGTTGGAAGTATATAACACATCTTTTAAAAAGTATATATAATTTTTAATTTTGTATTTTTGTACATGTTTGCAGTACATAATGGTTACAATTATTGTGGGGAGTTGGTACCTGTACACAACACATTGTAATTCTTTTTTCATCCCCTCCCTCCGTCTCTTCATTTCTTTCCCTTTTGCAAAAGATTTAGCATCCTATTTCCTATTATCTACCTTTCGTTTTGCTCTTTATAGTTTGGGTTTCTCATATACAAGAAACCATGTAATATTTAAGCTTGTGTGCCTGATTTATTTCACTTAACATTATGTTCTCAAGGTGCAATCATTTTCCTACAAATGACTTTAAGTTGATCCTATTTTGTGCAGAGCAGTATTCCACTGTGTGTAAATGCCATATTTTCTTTATCTATTCATCTGTTGATGGGCCTGTGGACCACTTCCAAGATTGAGATACTATTAGTTCTGCTGCTGTAAACATGGGGATGCACGCATCACTGTAATAGGATGTCCTTAACTCTACTGAGAAGATAACTAGAAGAATAGCTGAGTTGAATGGAATTTCTATTTCTAGTTTTTTGAGGAATCTCCATACTGATTTTCATAGAGTTTGTACTTGTTTACACTCCCACCAACAATGTAGAAGGGTTTCTTCCTTTTTCCCTGTCACTTCACCAGCATTTGTTATTATCTGATTTCTTGATGATGGCCATTCTTTCTGGAGTAAGGTAGAATCTCAGTGTTGTTTTAATTTGCACTTCTCTAATGGCCAGACATACTGAACTTTTTTTCCCTATGTATTTATTGGCCTTTTGTACTTCTAGCTATCTACTTGAAGAAGACAGAATCTAGAACCATATCTTTATCACATACTAAACCAAAATCAAAATGGATCAAAGATCTAAATGTTAAAACAGAAACCCTTAGGGCCAGGGATTTAGCTCAGTGGTTCCACCACCTGCCTCACAAGCGCAAAGTCCTGAGTTGATCCCCAGCACCAAAACAAAAACAAAACCAAACCAGAAACATTTAATCTGCTAGACGATAAAATAGCTAAACTCTTAAAGACATAGATGTAGGCAAGGACTTTCTGAATAGAACCCCAACTGCACAAGAACTAGCACCAAGAATCAACAAATGGGATAATATCAAATTAAAAAGCTTCTGCACGGCAAAGGAAACAACCAACAAAGTGAAGAGACAACCTATAGAATGGGAAAAAGAATTTTGCCAGCTATTCCTCAGATAGAGGATTAAATCAGAGCCCCCAAAATAAAAGATCAAATTAAAAAAAAAAGGCAACTGAATTGAACAGACACTTCCCAGGAAGAGCTAATGTCTTAAACCAATTCACAGCCCTGTAACTATATCTCTATTTTAGGTAATTATTCTTGGGGAAAGTTCCTAAAATGTGCGAGATACAGTTCTAGAAGCAGAATATAAACCTCCAGTGAACACAGTAGACAATTATCCTATGCATACAATATATCAATCAAAATCTTGGCTCCCATCTTACCAAACCTAGGATTAAGCCACCAGTTCTCAATCCTTTTATCCCTACAAATACCTTTTTAGTTATCTTAAAGATTTGGAGTACCACTGATGAGCATCTACAAAGGACAGGGAACTGTTCTGGCTGGAAAGGCCAGAGTGAAGTGGTGAGAAACCAGACTGGATGATCTGGATTTAACTCTTTTCTTCCATGACTTGGTGTAGGACATGGGTAAGTTATAAAATTCCTCTGTGCTTCAATTTCCTCATCTATAAAATGAAGTTAACAACTGGATTCACCTGAGAGCTATGAAAGGATTAATGTGTTAATAAATATATGCAAAACACTTAGAGTTGTCTGGTGTTAAGACTGAGCTATTATTTCATACAGCTTTATTCAGTATTTTATTCAACAGTTTTGCCGACCCCACTTATCAAAGCTGGAACTACATAGCTTAAAAAGGTTAAGTAACTTCCCCAAGATTACTTAATTAATAAGTAACAGAGTTAGATCAGACCTCAAGTATGTTCAACCCTACAAGTATGTACTTTGTATTACACTGTTTATCAGTGTTTTGACAAATTTATCTATGAAGTAGCATTGAAGATTTATTTCTCTTTATTTTCATTATACTACACTAATGTGCCAACTATAGTTACTATTATAAACTTTTAATTTTATTTTTGTTTTTATCAGTACATGTACACAACGATTAAATTCATCCTGGGTAGTTAGGATCCATACATCAACACATCTTAATTCTTTTAATTTCCTTTCCCCTCCCCTCCCCTCTCTCTCTACTCCCCCCATTTCTTTGTCCCCTTCTCATTTGGAAGGACTGTCCAGCATTATTAAATTGAGTTGACAGAATTACAAAGAATCAGTGATGATACTTAGTATTTTGCTTTACATGTTTAGTTTTCATACGATACTTTGGAAAAATTACAAATACCTTCCAAAGCCTTGCTATTTCTAATACCGACTCCTAGGGAAGGTCATTAAGATTGGGAGAAAGGCAGTAATGCAAGACAGTGGTAAACGGCAGTCATGTACACAGATGCCCTAAGATGGAGCACAAGGCCCCCTTCTATCCTTTACACTTGAGGGTCAATGACACTGCTATGTCACATCAGGGTTTATATCTTTGTTACTTTCCTTCCCATATCAATTCCTGAAATAAATTTCCTAGAAATAGAATTGTTGAGTCAAAGGGTATATAATTTTTAAGCTTTATGACAGATAATGCTAGTTATCCAATTTAAATCAAAGATTTTCTAATTCTCATTCCCATCCAGTCTATACGAGAGCCCATTTTCTATACCCTCAACAATACTAGGTATACTTATCTTAGTAAAATCACTCATGAAAAGTTAATATTTATCTGTTGCATACCACCTACCACAGTGTAGCTCCAGAAGACAAAGGCAAACATGACTGAACTTAAGTCTACCTTTTCTGTCTCACATATCCAGTTTACAATTCACCTACTGTGTATACGCTGTCCTCTTCCTGTCTTGCTGAAAACACTTGAAGGTCACTAAACTTGCAGAGATCTTTTGTAGCTAATGTGTTCCTGGGAAAATCTGTCAATCAGTTGTGATTCCTTAAAAGAAATTCCACCACGGGCACTCTAACAGGTTATCACAGGCGTATAATCCCCACACTCTGGGAGGCTAAGGCAGGAGAGTACCAAGTTGAAGCCCTATCTGGGTAACTTAGTGACTCAGTGAGACCTTGTCTCAAAAATACAAATGTTTTTAAAAAGGACTGTATTCAGTATAGTCCCCCAGAACCCCAAACACATAAACACAACAACAAAACCCTACAAGACATCAAGCTTTTTTGAAGCAGTTCTGGAAGTCCTCTTTTGTGTCTTTACACAGTGTGACCACAAATACCGTGAATGTTGCTGTCAAATGCCATCCAGTGGAAAGGTGGGCTTGTAAAACCGTTATTTTGTTTCCACAACCACCTGCTTCACCTGATCTGACATCATACGATAATTTCTGTCTCTTCCCCAAAGTCAAAATGATCATGAAAGTTTTGAATCAATGTAGGATACCAAGGCAACCATGACACCACAACTAAAAACTAACAAAAGCAGACTTCCAGAACTGCTTCGGAAAGTGGCAAAGATGATGGGATAAGTGTGTAAGAAGCAAGGGGAAGTATTTTGAGTGAGATTAATAGCAGTCTGCTTTTTACTATAACTCACCTTATTTTTCGATCCTACCGCATATCTTTCAGACAAACCCTTTGAGATACTCATTCTCTAAGTCACAGTAGTACATAGTTCCATGTAACTATCTTAACTACCGCAAAGGGAAGATGAAGCTAATGGTATTTTTGACTGCCGTTTCCTATTTTTTATGTTTATTCTCTTTTTAGTAAGTTAAAATATGTTTTCCCTTTACTTTCACATATTGCAATGGCTTAAGTGAAAATAATTTTTCTCACTTAACTACAATAAATAGCTAATGTAATTAACACTAAGAGAAGAACAAAAGTGCTTTGAGTCGGCTACAGAAGTTAAATAGAAGATAATGTGGATTCACACAGAAAATACTATGCTCTGTATCAAGATTCTTTTTAACCTTATCTATACCACAGGGAACCACATCATAAGGTGCTATAAAGGAAGGCTCAAGACAAGCTAAAATAAGAGTATGTTTCTGTAAAATAAATTTCTTACAGTTTTTTTGTCTACTTATTTATGTGGCTTTCTACATGAATTAATGGAGGGGATGGAACAAAGCTTAAATCATTCCTTAACTGGTTTGTTAAGAGCTTCATGATTCCAATTCCCTTTTTGCATGCAGTTGGGAATCTAGTATGGTAAGTACTACTTTATTTAAATATTGAGGTATAACCACTGCCATCTTATTTTGGCTGCAAAATGAATACATATTTAAATTAACTTTGTCATAAATCATGGCTTAAATCCACAAATTAGTATCTGCATATACATTATAATCTAAAGAGAATACTATTACATGTTGTGGGGCAGGAGAAGGAGTCCAGTGATTCACTAAAACTTAAGATCAATAGATGCTAATGAGAGAAATGCGTGAAATTAAAGAAATCAACATGTTATGCCTTGAATGAGTCAATTTCAAGTTGACTGAAATTCAAACATGAGTAAACATATAACTCATAAAGTAAAACCATGTAAAAGAACATGCAAATACCTTCAATTTGCTACTAGCTTTAGAAACAGGAACAATCAACTCCTTAAAATCTGTGGCTAAAATGCAAAAACCTGCAAATGTGCTACGATGGCCAAGAAATGCTATAAAATATTCAGTTACTGTAACAATGTTGGATCCAAATTCAAGGTGCATTTCCCTTCTTAGGCACTGTTTGTTCGGCTTCAGGAGGCAAGGATTTGAACAATTTCTTTCACAATCCAAGTGGCTAAAAATTTACCAGCACCAGATATCAAAAATGACCACAGAGAAGTCCCCACCTTATAATTCTGAAATATTATAATGTACCTAGTGTATTAAGGTTGAAATCTGAGTGATCCTCATACCCACCACATGGGCAACCAAGGCCTGAAACATTCTTTCCTTCAATCACAAGAGGCCACACTGCCTTCATCCCACCTCCAGTCTCAAAAAAACACAACCCCCCCTAACTTTCCCTAGTATCAAAGGAGAAGGGATAAAATGTCAGCAGCCAAGTTCCCTCCCCCTACAAAAAATTTAGAATTTCTTTACAAATCGTTCTCATTCCTGGACCTGTGCTGCCATATAGTTAGTAATCTGTTCTCAGACCCAGAAACAAATACTATACATTCAAGCTTCCAGTACTGTAAGAGGTTTCTGTTCAAATTCAAGACAGTCCTAACTCTCAGCTGGAGATCCCCTAAAGACAAATACTAGGAACAGCTTTATCAGTCCAGCGTCTGGAACAATCACCAGAATTACCGAATGCAGGGGTGGGGAAGAAACAATAGTGTCATCCTAATTTCATTTTTTAAACTCCCTCCCTGGACTTGTATTGAGTTCAACAAGTAACCTAAAAATAGCTTTCCCCTGACATTGACAGAGGGATTCGGTGGGAACGTAAAGGGCTTTTCCTTTTCTTTGAAAACGTAAACTAGTAAGAGCTCGGAGGGGCGGGAAACTCCAGGAGGCGATCTCCTTTTCTGGGAAGGGGAAGACCAAGGCCAGGTGAGGGGAGCGGGCTGAGGAAGTGGGCGCCGGGACCCGAGGGGACCGGAGGGGCGGGAGGGGACTGGGCCGGCGCGGCCGCGGCTGCGGGGCCGCGGAGGGGGCGGAGTCCCCAGACGGCTGGGAAATGAGGGGCCGGGAGGAGTCCCCCGAAGGTGGGGCAGCGAGGGGCCAGGGGGTGTCTCCTGACCCGCGGGAAGGGGGACAGGCGGCGGCGCCTCGGGGCTGCGGGACGAGGCCGCAGACCTCCGCAGAGGACTCACCGCTCGAGCGCGCGGGACTGCCGTACACGGCGGGCTCAGGCGCCGAGGAAGGGCCGACGCGGGGTTCCGAGACGAGGCGGCCGGACACTAAGCTCCGGCCCAAAGGCCGCGCGACCGCTGGCTGCACAGACCACCCGGAGCCCGGCACAGCGGGCGGACACCGCTGCTTCCGCCTTCTTTGAGCGCCCAGGGCAGGGAGGGACGGGGAGCGCGGGGGAGGAGCCAGAGCGGCCCATGCTCGCGAGCGCCCCCTGGCTCCGGTCCTCCACGGTGTGAGTTACTGCGCAGGCTCGGGGCGGTTGCAGCTGGCAACTCCTGGAACGCAGGCTGGGTGGGATTCCCTCCTGTGTCCCCTCTTGGGAACTCCTTGCTCCCCAGTCCTGATTCAGTCTCTCTCTGTCTTTCACTTTCTCTGTCTCTCTCCCCTCTCTATGAGTTTGGTGTGTTGAGGGGTTGGGTTTACGGGTAAATTGCAGGCGATTAATCAGACCTGGAGTAAATGATTTAGTGCTCATCAGCGACACTAGTAATCCCACACTGTATTTGCATAGGCTTCCCATTCAAGCAGGAGAAACCCCATCTGGGTAGGATCTCTGGACCTTGGAGAATTCTTTACACCGTCCCCTTCCTCACCGCGGAAGTTTCCACGATAGGTAGAACCATCCATTAATCACATGGTCCTTTAGCTTCATCCAGGCCAAGGCAGTCAGCCCATGCATGAAACATTTCTTTTGAATTGTTACCAACTATACTAGCCCATCCTCTGTCATTGTCACGGGAAAGCTATTTTGAATTCCCTGTTTAACTGGTCAGAAATGTGTACAGAATATAAGGACGTGTCGCAAGAGGTGCATGAAAAGATTTTCACCCACCTCTGCAAATTTGGTTACCTTCCACCTCTTAGGGTATGTGTTACAGGGAGTGGTCATGTGTACGTATTCTGAAAATAGAATGCTCCCTTTGGATTCAGTTTTTTTCCTTTCATAAACCGTGTGAATTTAGATTAAGTTACTTAATCTCCATCTCAGCATTCTTAGCTCCTACTAATGTGGAAATAATAAGGTTGTGGGATGGTATACATTGATGAATATATAGACACGTGATTTAAAATTATCTAGGGAAAAATAAGTATGTGCTCAATAAATATTAACAATAGTATAGATCCTGGTTTTGGAGGGCAATATTTACTAAAAATGCTTATCTTTTCAGGGTAAGAATCTGTCTCTAGTTCTCAGATTCAATTGGCTCCCTTTAAAATGTATTTTGAAATATTTGAGATATAAAAGTATAAAGAAGTATACTTAAACAGCTATGTGTTTGTCACCCAGTTTAAAAAATAAAACACTGCCAGTGGAATTTCCAGCCCCTGTGTATCCCCTCCCAGTACCACCCTTTTACAAAGGAATCTCTTTCTTTTTACTTTTTTTTTTTTTGGTACTGGGGATCAAACTCTGGACCTTGTGCTTTCGAGGCAGGCGGCAGAACTGCTGAGCTAAATCCCCAGCCCTACAAATGAATCTCTTAAGGAATAGGACAGGAATCATTGTATGAAATTGAGAGATGGAGAAAAGGAAGAGCAAAGGAGAAACATTTCCCCGCCATTTATTAGTGTGAGCTGTGATGCAAATTACTACCCCCCAGCTTCAGTTTCCTAAACCATAAAAAAGGTAATGATGCCTAACAGGGCTGTTGTCAGGATCAACTAATGAAAATGTGTGTGGAGGAACTCAGCACTAGATTTTCATAAAAAGATCAGATGTCTTGTGTGTCTTTCTCTACCCTGTTAGCATAAGTGTCTTTGAGGGACCTTTTCTTGCTTCTACATCCTGTTTCTTTTTCATCACTTTATACATAGAGCAGAGTCTTTGGGCTCACCCATGCCCCAGGGACATAGGAAACTTACAATTCTTGTAATCAGCTCACAGTCAGGCAGGGCCTGTGACTAGTTCTGGCTCATCAGCTGTCGAGGGAAGGGATGTTTATCATTTTTAGGACAAAGCATTTGATTTTCATCATAAGATGCTTCCCTATGTCCAATCACAAAGACCATGGGGTGGCTATAAGAAGGAACAGTGGATTACTAAGTGCTATATAGATGACAGCTGTCTTGGAGAGTGAACCCATCTGCCTTGGAAACAAAGCTGTGTTGCTTTAAGCCATTGAGATGTTGGGGGTATCTTTTCTGCAGCACAACCCAGCCTATCTTATACAGAGTTCCTTCTTGAAGTCTTTTCTGATGCTAGGAATCAGAACACCAAAGTTGTACTTCTGGCTCTGAAAAATTGGAACCTAGTCGTGTGTCCTCATCTATAACACTGGAATAAAATCTATCTTATTTTCTTTTCAGAGATGATATGAATTCCGATGAGATCATGTGTGAAGATGCTTTGTAAACCACCAAGTCCTGTACAGATGCTCGGAATTGAATGTTCTGACTAGCACAGTTATTAGGGAAGTATAGCAACAACAGTGCCTAGGTTTTCTTAAATGCTGCTGATTTAAAGTATTTTCTCAATTATCTCTTTAAGTAAACCAGATACGCACAAAAATTAGAAGTAATTTTGTTATTGGATTGCTGTTTTTAACATTCTATTTGAAAAAATGAAACAGGACACTTTATAGTCTAGTGGGCATAGGGTTGGGAAGCTAAGAGATTCTTCCCCAAACATTTGAAAATAAGATGGCCCTCTAAGAATTTAATTATGGAATTAAGACACAACTCATTTGTTTAAAATATATGTATTGAACAATTATTGTGTATATAGCAGGTAGCTTTGAAGATGAAATTTCTCTGTGTAATCCCCTTCCACAATTAATAGGGCTGACTGATATAACCAATAGGATATTGATAGAATGTGACATTCTAGATTAGTTTATAGAAGATATTGTCTTGCTCTCTGTCTCATAATGAATTATTCTGAGGGAAGTCCCTGCCCTCTCCTGGGGATGCCCAGGCAGCTCTTTGGGAAAGACTCATAATGATGAAGGGAGCCCTCCTGCCAACAGCCAGTGGATTGGTAAAGCCCTGTGTGGGCACCATCATGGAAGTGGACCTGCTGGGCCCAGAATGCTGCAGCCCCAGCCAAACATCTGGACTGTAACCTCAGAGACCCAAAGCTGGATCCCCCAGTTAAGCTGCTTCTGAATTCCTGACATACAGAAGCTAGTAAGATAATAAACATTTGTTATCTTAAGCTTCTAAATTTTAGGTAAGTTATTTATTTATTTTTTTGGTACCGGGGATCGAACTCAGGTCCTTGCACTTGCGCAGCAGGCGGCGAAACCACTGAGCTGAACCCCCGGCCCTTGGGTAAGTTATTATTCAGTAACAGATAGCAAATATAATGTGTTGCCACCATCTTCAGACCAAGAGATATAGTAGAATAAACCAGACTGGTTCTTCATGGAGCTCATATTTCAGTGGGGTTGGACAGACAGATCATAGATATTTAAGTAAACAGTGAGGTAACGTCAGATAATGATAAGTGGTATGGAAAATGAGAGACCCTGTAAGAAAGTATCTTTTACCCAGAGAAGTTAGAGACAGCTCTCTGGGAAGGGGAGATTTGAACTAAAAACCTGAAAGGTGATTTCTTCATATAAAGACCTTTAAGTAGAGCAGTCTAGGCAGAGGCAACAGCTACTATGAAGGCCTAAAAGCTGAAATGAAAGAAATGATTTAAAACCCAGCATCTGTAAATTCAGTGTGGCTAGGGGGAGGAGCTGAGTGGACCTTTAGACTTCCCAGAAAGTAACTACACCCAGCTAGTTTTAAGAAAGTAATACTGTGGAGAGAGACTGTATTTAGAGGAAAAAAATACAATCTGGTACATGCAATCCAGAAAAAAACACTTTACATTCAGAATCTTTCCCATGCCAGTAGAACCAAAGAGTAGATGGGCTAATTTTTGGTGAAATTAATGACCAAAAAAGAACAAGTTAATTAGGAGAGGAATCAGATATGATAGAACCTAGAAAAAAGGTCAGGGTAATCTACTGTGGCATTTCCCAAGGATTTCTGTTTAAAGGATCTGCTCTGGATCAACATTTCCCCCTAGCTGTGTTTTTAAAAGCAGACATTTCAAGAATTGGCCTGATGTCATTAATCTTTGAGTTGTAAAAGCAATTACCCACTGAGTGATTTCATGATTGCTAACAGTGGTTAAATGAAGCCAAAAGAGTACATGAAGGAGTGCTATCCAATAAAGGAGTCTGGCTTTGGGATATCCTTCAGGTTTAGTAACTTCGAGAACTGGCCCCACCATACCTCTCTCTTTCCCATGTCTTTTTCCATCTCCACCAACATGAGGCCCAGTGCTCAGAGCAGAAGAGGGAGGGGAGGGGATGGTGAAGGGGTGAGAAACTAAGTGGGCAGGTGAGAAGTGTGGGCACACGGATGTGTAGAGAAAGGCTCCAGATAGTATTAACAGGCTTGGCTGGAGCTGTGCCTTTGGCTAAGTGAACTGTTCAGCCTAAGAGTAGACTCAGATACTAGAAGGCAAAAGTTTAGTTTTGGAATCACCATGCCTATGATTTTTTTTTGTTACTATAACAGAACACCCGAGGCTGGGTGACGATAAAGCAAAGAGGTTTGTTTAACTCACAGTTCTGGAGGTTCAAGGGCTCACATCTGATCATGTTCTTGCTAGTAGAGTTCAAGTTGACTCATATGGTAGTGTCACGTGGCAAAAGACAGGAAGCATGTTTGTCTGGGTGTTCTGGTCTCTCTTGTACTTCTTACAAAGCCGTCAGGATTCACTCATAGGGGTGCCACCCACATCAGCTTATCTAATCCTAATTATTTCCCAAAGGCCTCATCTCTAAATACCACGGTAGAATTAGGTTTCTATCCCTTTAATATTTCATAAAGATAAAAAGCAGCCTAAAATTCAAACCATATTCAAACCTAGAGAAGTTCTCCACATCCTTCATGGCAATGAGACAGCTTTGGTAATGTCTATCTACTAGTAAGGAGTAAAAGTTCTCGTCCTCTGTCTTCATTCTCTTCCTCAAATCCCAGTCAAGAATATAGACTTTTTGTGGCTGCATTCATTTAACCTGCTTTTGGACAAAGAAGAAAATCAGCCTCAATCTCTCCCTCTCTCTCCCTCTCTCTTTCTCTCTCCCTGTTCCTGCCCCTGTCTCTCTCTCTCTCTCTCCCTCTGTCTCACTCCTGCTTCTTTCCTATTTGGGAGAAAGAGGAAGGGAGACGCATTTGGACCAC